TAGTAGAGACGGGGTTTCACCGTGTTGACCAGGATGGTCTCGATCTCTTGACCTCGTGATCCACCCGCCTCGGCCTCCCAAAGTGCTGGGATTACAGGCTTGAGCCACCACGCCCGGCCCTTTCATGTGATTTTTGCAATTGGGTTATGATATGCTTTTGCATGCTTCTCTTTTAGTTTTATTCAGCTTGTAGTTCACTGAGGGTCATGGTTCTATGGACTTAACAGTTTTTATCAAATTTGAAATTTTTCAGCCATTATTTCTTCAAATACTTTTTCTGCCCCTCCATTCTCCTCTCCTTTTGGTATTCCAATTATACGTATGTTAGACTCCTTGCTATTGTCCCATGGGTCACGGACACTCTGCTCTTTTTATCCCCCATCTTTTTTCTCTCCATGTTCCATTTTGGATGATTTCTGTTGCTGTGTCTTCAAGTTCATTTATCTTTTCTTCTTCAGTCTAACCTGCTATTGATCTCACTAAGTACATTTTTCATTTAATATTTCATGTTTCATCTCACGTATTCCATGCGAATGATTTTTACATCTTTATTTCTTCTCATGCTCGTGGTTTCCTCTACCTTTTTTACTACTTGGAGCATATTTATCATAGCTGTTTTATCACCCTTGTCTGCTACTTTCATCATCATTGTCATTTCTGTGTTGGTTGATTTGTTTTTCTCCTGGTTATGGGTAATATTTTCTTGCTATTTTTTGGTATGCCTGAAAAATATTTTTATACTTTTGGTTTCTGTATTTTGTTGAACTCCTCTAAAGAGTGTTAGATATTTTTCTGGCACGCAGCTAAGTTAATTGGAATCAGGTGAATATTTTCAAGACTGACTTTTAAGGTTTGTTAGTGTGGGTACAGGGTATCCTTTAGTCTAGGGTTAATTTAGCCCCCACTAATAAAGCAATAACTTTCTGAGCACCAAATGCTACAAATTTTACAGGGTCTTTCCACTCAGGCAGGTGGAAACACAAGCTATTCCCAGACCTATGCAATGACTGGGAATTGTTCTGCTTTCTTCTTTTTCTTTTTCTTTTTATTTTACTTTAGGTTCTGGGATACATGTGCAGGTCATGCAGGGTTGTTGCGTAGATGCATACTATATCCGGCATTTCTCCCCATGTTATCCCTCCCCACCCTTCCCACCCCCCACTGTCCCTCCCCTAGCCCCCCCAACTTCCCCCAGTGTGTGATGCTCCTCTCCCTGAGTCCATGTGTTCTCATCATTCAACACCTGCCTGTGAGTGAGAACATGAAGTGTTTAGTTTTCTGTTCTTGTGTCAGTTTGCTGAGAATGATGGTTTCCAGATTCATCCAAGTCCCTACAAAGGACACGAACTCGTCATTTTTTATGGCTATATAGTATTCGATGGTGTATATGTGCCACATTTTCTTTGTCCAGTCTATCATTGATGGGCATTTGGGTTGGTTCCAAGTCTTTGCTATTGTAAACAGGGCTGCAATGAACACGTGTGCATGTGTCTTTATAGTAGAATGATTTATAGTTCTTTGGGTATATACCCAGTAATGGGATTGCTGGGTCAAATGGAATTTCTATTTCTAGATCCTTGAGAAATCACCACACTGTCTTCCACAATGGTTGAACTAATTTACACTCCCACCAACAGTGTAAGAGTGTTCCTATTTCTCCACATCCTCTCCAGCATCTGTTGTCTCCAGATTTTTTAATGATTGCCATTCTAACTGGCATGAGATGGTATCTCAACATGGTTTTGATTTGCATTTCTCTAATGACCAGTGATGATGGGCACTTTTTCATATGTTTTTTGGCCTCATATATGTCTTCTTTTGAAAAATGTCTGTTCATATTCTTGGCCCACTTTTGAATGGGGTTTTTTTTTTTTTTTTCTTGTATATCTGTTTTAGTTCTTTGTAGATTCTGGACATTGGCCCTTTGTCAGATGAGTAGCCTGCAAAAATTTTTTCCCATTCTGTTGGCTGCCTGTTTGCTCTAATGATGGTTTCTTTTGCTGGACAGAAGCTCTGAATTTTAATGAAATCCCATTCGTCTATCTCGGCTTTTGTTGCCATTGCTTTTGTTATTTTAGTCATGAAGTTCTTGCCTATGCCTATGTCCTGGATGGTTTTGCCTACATTTTCTTCTAGTGTTTTTATGGTGTTAGGTTTTATGTTTAAATCTTTAATCCATCTGGAGTTAATTTTAGTGCAAGGTGACAGGAAGGGGTCTAGTTTCTGCTTTCTGCACATTGCTAGCCAGTTTTCCCAATGCCATTTGTTAAACATGGAGTCCTTTCCCCATTGCTTATTTTTTTCAGGTTTGTCAAAGATCAGATGGTTGTAGATGTGTGGTGTTGCTTCTGAGGTCTCTGTTCTGTTCCATTGTTCTATGTCTCTGTTTACTTCTTTTTGGTGTTTTTTGTTTGTTTGTTTGTTTATTCCCAGGCCTTTGTTAGTTTCCTCTCACACATACACAGAAAGGCACTTAAAGACAAGAGGGTGGGCCAGGCATGGTGGTGCATGTCTATAATCCTTGGGGAAACTGAGGTGGAAGAGTCCCTTGAACTTGGGAGGATGAAGTTTCAGTAAGCTGAAATCATTCCACTGCACTCCAGCCCTGGTGACAGAGCAAGACTCTGTCTCCAGAAAAAGAAAAAAAGAAAAACCCACACACAGCAAGGCTTTATTCAGCTGATGTACACCAAGATCACTCTCTCAAAGGTGGGGAGCAAAAAAATGGGGTAAAGGAAAAACAGTGATAGGTAAAAAGGGCCAAAGGCAAGGGAAACAAGGGACCTTCTATCACATCTATTTCCATCTTTTTACAGGCTTTTCAGTCCAGAGCCTACTTCTTAGAACTGACACTGTCTCCTTTTTTTTCTTTCTGCTTTGTGTTAGGCAGCACCCAAAGATGCTGGAATCTTCATGGCAAATGCCGCCGCAGATGCTTCAAGAAGGAAAGGGTCTATGTTTACTGCATAAATAGTAAAATGTGCTGTGTGAAGCCCAGGTACCAGCCAAAAGGAAGGTTGTGGCCATTTTAAGTCCTTTGAAGCATGAAATCGTGAAAATGCAGTTGAAGTTACGCAGTGGATTCCCATGCTCTATCAATAAACACGTCTGACTGATTCCTATGTTTGCCTGTTAGTGAACCCCAGCAGCTCTCAGAGTGCCTTTCAGGTGGTTTGCGATGTCAAAAACTGTTTTCATAATAATAGTAAGAACTTTTTTTACTTTTTTAAACTCACTCTTTCACAAGTGTATACTGGAATTTTCTAGAATCTACATGACATATAATGATATAATTGTTCTGGCAGCTAATGAAAGATGTGCTAATGTGCTCTTGTGTGGAATTTTTTTAAATAGAAGTCTTTAGGTATAAGTATGTTCATTTTCACAGATTCATGTAATTTGTTCTCAGCAATTCTACTGAGAACTCTTACAAACTATCTTTGGTTATATTATTAACTGTAATTATTAATCTCTATGACTTTATAATCATCTAATAAGTCATTACTTGAAAATCCCACAACTTACCTTGCACCACAAGAAATAAGAACACTTTGTGATCTTGGTTTGCAGAGAAATTTTGTTCTAATTTTTTATTTTTTATAAAGATAGGGTCTCGCTTTGTTACTGTTACGTATAAAATTTTTCTTTTTGGTGCCACAAAGAAAAATTAGTGCTGGGCCAAAGGAGCTCTCAGCAAAGCAATTCTTTTTACTTCTGGCAGAAAGGGTACTCCCATTAGCAATATTGTCAGGAGAGTACAAGGAACAGAGGGAAGCAGACATATTTATTTCCTATGCATTTGGGGTTGTCCTTACTGCTGTGACTGATCTCCATTGGCTGGAGCCAAACCTCACAATCTAAACTAAAACCCGATTGGCTAATAACTTGAAACTTTTCTAAACAGGTAAAAGCAATGGAGAGCAAAAAGAGTAAGTCCAAATAAGGCAGGGGCATAGGCTGCAAGCTGGGATGTGCCTGTGAGAATGTCCAGCACAGATATCATGGTTAAAGTACAAGGACAATTGCTAGAAGCCCTATCCTATGTAGCTGTTAGGCATGCTTACAGGCTAAAAGGACATGTCTTACAGGCATGTCTAACAGCTACAGAAGATAGTGCTTCTAGCAGAAAAGCAAGAAGGCTTTTGAAGACAGTGTTTAAAACAAACTATTATTTCTAACATTTATGAATTTTTCTAAAACAAGAAAGGAAACTTTGAAGAGGAACTTTTCTACTTCCCACAGTTATTCAGCCTGGATTTGAACTCCCGGCCCGCCTCAGCCTCCCAAAGTGCTAGGAATACAGGAATGAGCCACCACTCCCATGGGGCCTTGGAGAGGTATATTAAAAACAATCCTGTCTAACAGAAGAAAGGACATGCTCTGCCTGAGGGAAAAAATAACACCTATTTTAGTCTCTATAGTTCTCTTAAATACAATTTCTGGCATATATACAATTTTTAAAAATATATAAGACATGCACAGATGCAGGAAAATATGACCCATAATCAAGAATAAAAGTAATCGAATAGAAGCAGACCCAAAGATGGTGATATGGTTTGGATCTGTGTCCCCACCCAAATCTCAGGTTGAATTGTAATCCCTAGTGTTGGAGGTGGGGCCTGGTGGGAGGTGACCGGATTACGGAGGTGGATCCTTCATGAACGGTTCAGCACCATCCCTTTGGTACTGTTCTTGAGATAGAGTTCTCACAAGATCTGGTTGTTTAAAAGTATGTGGCACCGCCTCGCTCTCCTCCTCCCCCTGCTCTGGCCATGTAAGACAAGCCTGTTCTGCTTCACCTTCTGCCATGATTAAAAGTTTCCTGAGGCCTCCTCAGAAGCCTTTATGCTCCCTGTACAGCCTGCAAAACCATGAGCTAATGACATCTCTTTTCTTTGTAAGTTATCTGGTCTGACAGATGGAGTAGTTGTTGGAATTAACAGACAACTTTGAAATAACTATTATAAATATGTTTAAGAAATTAGAAGAAAAGATTGAAAAGAAAATGAATGAAAGGATGAAGAATTTAAACAAATACACAGAAAAATAGTGTATTGTTTTCCATTGCTGAATTTCAAAACCACTCCAGAACTTAGTAGACCAAAATAACAACTATTTGTTATTTTTCACAATTCTGCTCATTAAGTGATTCTCCTGATATTCTCACATGAGGTCATTCATGTCACTACACCTCTCTTCACATGACCTCTCCACCTCAAAGAAGTTGACCTTGGCTTCTTCCATCATGATGGGGTCCAAGAGCCTCCCAACGTGCTAGGAATACAGGAATGAGCCACCACTCCCAGCCCTGCAAAAGTATATTAACAAAAGTCCTAACTGCCTAACGGGAGAAAGACATGCTCTCCCTTAGGGAAAAAGTAACACCTATTTTAGTCTCTATAGTTCTCTTAAACACAATTTCTGACATATATGGGTAAACCTCAACATGTGGCATTTCTCAAATTTCTGTTTGTATTACATTTGCTGAAGTCCCAAGTCATATGCCAGTCACTGTGAAAGAGGACTACATAAGGGCATGAATACTAAGAGGCTGATTCACTGCATGATGGAAACTCTAAGAATAAATTGGGCCTTCTAAACTGAGACATACTAAAATTAAGAATTTATTGGATGGTAAGCCAGGCATGGTGGCATATGACTGTAGTCCTAGCTACTTGGTAGGCTGAGGCAGGAGGATCACTTATGCCCAGGAGTTTCAGGCTGTAGTATGCTATGATCATGCCTGTGAATAGCCACATGTGAATAGCAACATAGCGAGACCCCACCTCTTAAAAAAAAAAAAAAATGTGTTGGATGGGTTTAACAGCAGAAGACAGGGCCTTGTAGAAGAATGAATCATTGAACTCAGAGATAGATCAATAGAAAATATACAAACCAAAGCACAGAGAGAAAAAAATGCAAGCATATCAGAGCATGAGAGACTTGTTGGACAATATCAAATGATCTAACGTATATATAATTAGGTCCCAGAAGAAGAGATGGGAGACCAGGCACAGTGGCTCACATTTGTAATCTCAGCACTTTAGAAGGCTGAAGTGGGAGGATCACATGAGTCTCAGAGTTCAAGACCAGCCTGGACATCATAATGAGACCCCATCTTTATTTTTCTTTTTTTTCGAGATGGGGGTCTCACCATGTTGGTTGTGAACTCCTGGGCTCAAGCAATTGGCCTGCCTCACCCTCCTAAAATGCTGAGGTTACAGGTTTGAGCCACCAAGCCCGACCCCACCCATCTCTATTTTAAAAAATAAATTTAAAGTTGGGAATGAGGAAGAATAAATATTTTTAAAAGATAACAGCTGAAAATTTTCCAAAATTGTTGAAAGACATCAATCCATAAGAAGTTTAGTGAACTGCAAAGCAGCATAGACACAAAGAAAATCAAACCTGCAGGGCACAGTGGCTCATGCCTGTAATCCCAGCACTTAGAGAACCCGAGGTGGGCAAATCGTCTGAGGTCAGGAGTTCAAGACCAGCCTGGCCAATGTAGTGAAACCCCATCTCAACTAATAATACAAAAATTAGCTGGGCATGGTGGTATGCATCTGTAAGCCCACGTACTCAGGAGGCTGAGGCAGGAGAATCGCTTGAACCTGGGAGGCAGAGGTTGCAGTGAAGCAAGATCCTGCCACTGCACGCCACCTTGGACAACAGAATGAAACTGTATCAAAAAGAAAAAAGAAAGAAAGGGAAAGAAAATCAAACCTGAACATATTATAGCCAAACTGCTAACAAAAGAAAAAGTACTTCTCAGTACCTATAAATATTTCATACAAAACATGTTCAAGAATTTATGGAAAAAGATAGAAAATCTTACTGAAATACAATAGAGAAAGCCTAAATTAATTAAGAAACATACCATGCTTAGGAATTAGAAGTCTCAATATCTTAAAGATGTCAACTCTATACTAATTATTCCCTAGATTCTATAAAATTCCAACAAGATTTTTTCATAACTTGTTCAAAATTGTGTATATGTAAACAAATATTTTGTTAGGGACACAAACATATATAATAAAACTTTCAATAAAAGCTAAAGTGCATGAAATTTCCTTCCAGGTTACATCTGAAGTGTTTACTGTATTTGAAAATGAATATTCATATATAAACAAGAAATCCAAATGCTATGTTCCAAAGGTGTTATGCTTATTGGACATGCTGGTTTGCCATGTAATTATGAAATCATTGAACACACACGAGTTCACGGTGCCACACGTGACTCTGAAGTAGGTATTTGGCAATTCGTCCTTCCAAAGTGTGAAGCTAAGGCTGGATACTGAGACCAAAGTCAAAATTGGGTTTATTCCTAGAACGTGAGCTCCGCACAGATAGAGATTTATCCGTTTTGCGCACTGCTGAGTCCTCTATACTTAGAATAATGTCTGGCACATAGAAGGTATTCAATAAATGTAAGTAGAATTAATGAAAAACAAAAAGAGTGCTGATGCTAGCAACGCATAGGTGAAAATCGTCAGCTTAATACAGTTGGGACAACGATGGAAATCATTAGGCATCCCAAATCAGGGAAGCCTTCGTTTCGGCCAGGGGCTCACTGGACTTAAGCCAGTCTACTGCGGCTTCAGATTAGGAGGAAAAGGAGCAAAATTAATGAACATGTACAAAATGTTGGAGTTATATCATTGAAAATTGTGTCTTGGCCGGGGGCGGTGGCTCACGCCTATAATCCCAGCACTTTGGGAGGCTGAGGGGGGCGGATCACTTGACCCCCAGGAGTTTCGGACCAGCATGACCAACAGGGTGAAACCTCGTCTCTACCAAAAAAAAAAAAAAAAAGGAAAAAAATTAGCCTGGCGTGATGGCTCATGCCTTTAATCCCAGCTACTCAGGAGGCTGAGGCACGAGAGTCGCTTGAACCCGGGAGGCGGCAGAGGTTGCGGTGACCGAGACCACGCCACAGATACCCTATCTCAAATTAACGAAAACTCCCCAGCCAATTCCCAAAATAACCGCTAGATGGGAGTATCTCCCCTTGAGAGTCATTGATCTAACCGTTAAGGGAGTCCTGAAAAAACAATGCGTCTCGCTGGATCACCAAAATTTTTTTTTTCCAAGGAATCCAGATGGGAATTTATTTTATTATGATTTGTATTATTATTATTGTTATACTTTAAGTTCTGGGGTACATGTTCAGAACGTCCAGGTTTGTTCCATAGGTATACACATCAAACTCTTTATGAGACAAACGGAGCTGCATCCTAAGCACAGATAATTTACCCAGACTCAACCACATGTGCTCAGAAAAAAAGAGAAATTTAAAGAAAATAAGATTTTGGGTGGGTTTTTTCTTTTTTTCTTACTTTTTAAATCAACTTTGTTTTATCTTTCTAAAACATCATGTAAATGGAATTACTCAGCCTGTATTTCTTTGTGTCTCTCTTCTCTCAATATAATGCTTTTGAAATTAATTCATAGTGTGTGTATTGGTAAATTATTGCTATTTATTGAGTAGCATATTGTATGGCTATAACTCAGTTTATCCATTTATCCGTTGAAGATTTGAGCTGTTTCCATTTAGGGGTTATTATAGGCAAAGCTGCTACAAACAAGGATAGAGAAGTCTTTGTCTATTAACAAATTAAATGACATATGTGTGTGTGTGTGTGTGTGTGTATGTGTATATATATATATATATATATATATATTTTTTTTTTAGAGACGGGGTTTCTCCATGTTAGGCTGGTCTTGAACTCCCAACCTCAGGTGATCCGCCCGCCTTAGCCTCCCAAAGTGCTGGGATTACAGACGTGAGCCACCACACCCGGCCCTGACATATGTATATTTAATGTTTCTATTTGTTTGTTTGTTTGAGAAGGAGTCTCACTCTGTCGTCCAAGATGGAGTACAGTGGCGCCATCTTGGCTGACTGCAAACTGCCTCCCAAGTTCAAGTGATTCTCCTTCCTCAGCCTCCCTAATAGCTAGGATTACAGGCACGTGCCACCACGCCGGCTAATTTTTGTATTTTTAGTAGAGGCAGGTTTTCACTATGTTGCCCAGGCTGGTCTTGAACTCCTGACCTCAAGTGATCCACCTGCCTCAGCCTCACAAAGTGAGGGATTACAGAAGTGAGCCACCATGCCCAGCCTATTCTGAGTATTTCTGTACAGTGAAAATACTAATAATTTTAGTTTTCTTATTTGTGCTTCTCTGTTAACGTGTTTTCCAATGAACTTTTAAAATTAGAAAAATATATATATATTATTTTAAAGATACAAATAAGAATGACTCTGGAGCCTGGCACAGTGGCTCATGGCTGTAATCCCAACACTTTGGGAGGCCGGACGAGGCAGGAGGATTGCTTAGGGACAGGAGTTCAAGACCAGCCTGGGCAACATAGCAAGACCTCGTGTCTACAAAAAATACAAAAATTAGCCAGGCATGGTAGTTCATGCCTGCAGTCCCAGCTACTGGGAAGGCTGAGGTGGGAGGACTGCTTGAGTCCAGGACTTCAGAGCTGCAGTCTGTGATTGCACCACTGCATTCCAGCCTGGGCAACGGAGCAAGACTGTCTCCAAAAAAAAGACTGACTCTGGGAGACAAAATCAGGCAGAGGGTCAGGGTAGAGTTCCAGGTTCGCCACCTCCTAGGTGTATGATGTGGGCAACTTTCTTAGTTGCCTGATAGAGCCTTAGTTACCTTACAGAAAAGGCAGAGATAGGCCAGCTGCAGCAGCTCACACCTGTGACCGCAGCACCTTGGGAGGCCAAGGCAGGAGGATCACTTGAGTAAAGAAGTTCAAGACCAGCCTGGGAAACATAGCAAGACCCCATCTTTATTTTTTAACAAGACCCCATCTCTACTATATCTCTACTATATATATATATATATATATTTTTTTTTACATATATATATATATATATATATATATGGCAGGTATGCTGGCACCTAGCTCCACAGAGGCTGAGGTGGATCACTTGAGCCCAGCAGTGTGAGGCCCCGTGTTAAAAAAGAAAGGAGAGAGAGAGAGAGAGAGAGAGAGACAAAGAAGAAGGAGGAGGAGGAGGAGAAGCAACAACTGGCTGGGCGTGGTGCTCACGCCTGTAATCCCAGCACTTTGGGAGGCCAAGCTGGATGGATTACAAGGTCAGGAGTTTGAGACCAGCCTGACCAACATGGTGACACCCCGTCTCTACTAAAAATACCAAAATTAGCTGGGCATGGCGGTGCATGCCTATAATCCCAGCTACTTGAGGCAGGAAAATCGCTTGAACCCAGGAGGCGGAGGTTGCAGTGAGCCGAGATCGTGCCATTGCACTCCAATCTGGGCAACAGAGCAAGACTCCATCTCAAATATATATATGTATATATATACATATATATACACACACACACACACACGTATGTATATGTATATATATGTATGTATATATGTGTGTATGTGTATATATGTATACATACAACTGTGGGAATTCATTGAGGTGATACAGATAAAGCAATTGGTACTTTCTTTTTTTTTTTTTGGAGACAGAGTCTCCTCAGTTGCCCAGGCTGGAGTGCAGTGGTGCTATCTCTGCTCACTGCAACCTCCTCCCAGGTTCAAGCAATTCTCTGCCTCAGCCTCCTGAGTAGCTGAGATTACAGTCACCCACCGCCACACCCGGCTAATTTTTTTTTTTTATATATTTTTAGTACAGCCAGAGTTTCACCATCTTGGCCAGGCTGGTCTTGAACTCCTGACCTCGTGATCCACCCACCTCGGCCTCCCAAAGTGCTGGGATTACAGGTGTGAGTCACCATGCCCAGCCAAGCAATTGGTACTTTCTATGGGGTACTTATATATCATCATCTCAACCTTTCAATGCTTCCTTGAGTAGATCCCGTTCTCCGAAAAAGCATTTCTGAGCACCTATCCAGGTAGCTTCCTTCTCTAGCATCCCAGAGCCACCGGGCTCACCCTACACATCTCCAGTATCAGGGGGCTCTCTTCCTCCCAAAACTGCCCCATCACACTGTCCTGTCCTACCAGTGTGTGGCTCTACTCCTTGACATGTCACTTGGGAACTCTCTGGCCTTGGACAAGTCACTTTTCCTCTCAGCTTGTGGGCCTCACCTGTGAGGTATTTTGGGGAACATTCCACCCTAGAATTGGCTGGTCTCTTCGGCTTGTTGGGAGTATCCTAATGACTTAGGAAGTTGGATGTACACTTAGGTGAGTGTCTGAACACTGGGAGGAAAAGGGCAGTTCGTGTGTGAGGCTTAATTTTCAGAAAACGATCTAGTCTGTTGGTCTTGGCTTCAGCCCTAAGTCATTAGGATACCATATCAAGGAACGCAGGAGAACCCTTCACTCTCAGTAGGGCCTGCCTCTCAAGCCAAATGCACCATCTCATTCTGAATTCCAGGAGCTTATGATTGACTGCTATTATTCACTGTTACTATCAACTCACATTATTAACTCTTGTCGTTATTAACTCTACCTTTCTTTTTGCATTGCGTCTATAGAGTGCTCATCTCCTGATAGTATAATTATACCCATTTTATGGTTGAGGAGACTTTCAGAGGTTGAGTAATTTTTCCGGAGTTGGACAGAGAGAAAGCAATGTGGCCAGGACCGGAACCATTTACAACGGTCATTAGCGCCCACTGTCCTCAGGTCCCTCACCTCCCTCCACGGACCATTTCTCCCACATCCTAGACCTGTCCCCCACCCCTGGGGGGAGAGGAGCACAGGCAAGCAAACAGAAAGAAGAGACAACAGGCAGCCTGTGTTTTATTGGACAGCAAGAAGCAGCTACTCATATTCAGGCTTGGGGACTGGTGGAGGCTTCAATGCATAGGAGAGACAGCACAGGGAAGCATCCGGGCACAGGTGCATGTAAGTTTCTTGCCTTGTGCAGTAAGTCCGGCAGGCCCCTTGGCCCTTCCAGCACCGTTTGAATTCACTTCTCCCTAAGCAGAGGAAGACCACAGGTCAGAGAGCAGCCTATGGGTCACAGGTTAGACCGCTGGTCATAAGTTACACCACAGATGCAGAGACTAAGGCTGGGCACAGTGGCTCACGCCTGTAATCCCAGCACTTTGGGAGGCCGAGGCAGGCAGATCACCTGAAGCCAGGAGTTTTGAGCTCAGCCTGACCAACATGGTGAAATCCTGTCTCTACTGAAAATACAAAAATTAGCTGGGCATAGTGGCATGTGCCTTGAGTCCCAGCTACTTGGGAGGCTGAGGCAGGAGAATCGCTTGAACCCAGGAGGTGGAGGTTGCAGTGAGCTGCGATTGCACCACTGCACTCCAACCTGGGCGACAGAGTGGGACTCCATCTCAAAAAAAAAAAAAAATAGAGATGAATTTCTTGTCCAAGTAAAGCCACACACCAGGTACACATTAGCACTTTTCATAACAACGCTGCATGATTATAGTTAGTCTTATTACAACCCCTGCTATACAGGTAAGGAAACTGAGGCTTAGCGAGGTTAATGACCTTATCCAGCTGGGCACAGTGGCTCACGCCCCCCACTTAGTGCTAGTTCTTCTGAGCTGCTTGCTCTCTGCTTGTCTGAGGCTGTAGGTCTAGAAATGTCATTTAGCAGTCCAGCTCGTCTACATGGTCCCCTCCCTTGTCTCCCTTCACTTCCCACATCTGCTCTAATTGGCCATCACAGTACCCTCATCATTTCCAACATGACAGTTACCACAGAATCTATGTCTTGTATTTATTTGCTTGTTTTTTAACTGTCTTTCGTGACGCTGGAAGCTGCTTGAGGGCATGGACCATGGCCATACTGCTCATGGTAACTTCCAGTGCAGTGGCGCAATCTCAGCTCACTGCAGCCTCCGCCTCCCGGAGCAATTCTCCTGCTTCAGCCCCCCAAGTGGCTGGGACCACAGGTGCCTGCCACCACGCCCAGCTAATGTTTTTATTTTTTGTAGAGATGAGGTCTCCCTATGTTGCCCAGGTTAGTCTCGAAGTCCTGGGCTCAAGCAATCCTCCCACCTTGGCCTCCCAAGGTGATAGGATTACAGGTATGAACCACCACACCCAGCCAAGAAATACTCTTAGCACATCATCATATCTGAACTTCCCAATCACCCCAACACCCAGAAGCACTTTCTTTCTCCTGCGTGATCTGCACTCTCTTCCTCATACCTTGATTCTGTCTCCCACCAATTTCCTTTGTGCTTCCTCCCCCAGCCACACCACCCTCCTTGCTGCTGTTCAAACATCCATCACCCTGCCTCAGGACCTCGGCCCTTGCTGCTCCTTCTTCCTGTCTGGAACCATCCTCTCTCACATTTTCACCTTATTCACACCTCTGTTCAAACCCACTTTATATCAAATAAGATAGCTGGAATTTACTTCAAAATAATTCACAGGGGAGGAGGAGGAAGTAAATAACAAAACAGGATTCGTTCAAGCTGGTGATTGTTGAGGTTGAGTGATGGGTAATAGAGGTTCTTTATGCTATTTGTTTCTTACTTCTGGTTGAAATTTTCCTAAATACTGAAGTTTCTGGCTGGGCTCATGCCCGTAATCCCAGCACTTTGGGAAGCCAAAGCTGGAGGATTGCTTGAGGCCAAGAGTTTGAGACCAGCCTGGGCTACGTAGTGAGACCCCATCTCTACCAAAAATTTAAAAGTCAAATAAAGAAGTCTCTTTTAAAAACTCATGCCATTACATTAGTCTCTGTTTCTGCATAAGTTTAAATTTTCCCATAATAAAAATGTTTAAAATTCACCTTGTTTATGTATGTTATTCTCCCTACTTTCATTTATGTATTAAAGTTTCCTAAATAAAAAGTTTTTAAAAAGAAAAAATCTAGGCTGGCTGTGGTGGCTCACATCTGTAATCCTGGCGCTTTGGGAAGCCAAGGCAGCCTGACCAACATGGCGAAACCCCGTCTCTACTAAAAATACAAAAATTAGCCGGGCATGGTGGCCCATGCCTGTAAAACCAGCTACCTGGGAGGCTGAGGCAGGAGAATCGCTTGAACCTGAAAGGCGGAGGTTGCAGAGAGCCAAAATCGTGCCATTGCACTCCAGTCTGGGCAACAAGAATGAAACTCTGTCTCAAAAAAAAAAGGAAAAAATTTTATCAGAGGCCTTCCCTGTCAGCCTTCCCATCACCGCCCCATCCAAACACTCACCACTGTAAGCCCTGCCCTTGTCTTTCCTCTTCTTAGCACTAATCACCACCTGACATATGTTGATCTGTTTATTTTCTTCCCCAACCAACTAAAATGTCAGCTGCATGAAAGCAAGGACCTTGTTTTCTTTCACTGCTAGTTGTCTGTCACTGCTATGATTTCACAACAATCATAACATGAATGCATATTTATTGAGAGAATCCCATTTTGTAGATTAGAAAACTGAGGTGCAGGCTGATTTAGCAACTTGCTCTAAGTTGCCCAGCAGGTCAGTGGTGAGGCCAGAGCTTAAATGCAGGCCCAGGCCCCTCTGTCCTCCAGGACCTGAGAACCTGGTCCTCTTTCACACACACACACGTGCACATGCACACACACGCACACTAAGTGGGTACCTGGTGGTGCACGACCCAGGACCAGCAGAGCCACAAGGAGCAGAAGCAGCTGTGTCATGGCCACGGAGCTCCTGGAGAGGCTGCTGGAGAGAACGCAAGAGGAGGGAGCTGAGATGCTGAGCCTCGCTGCTTCCAGCCCAGGCTTTATTGAGCTGCAGATGATGGCAGTGCTGTGGGCAGCAGACCTAAGTGGGAGTATGAGGCCTTGTGGTCCCAGGCTGCTTGGGACCTCCGCCAGCTACGTGGGAACTGGTCAGCCACACCCTCCGGAACCTGCTAAGCTCTGAAGCTGGTGGCAGAATTTTCTGAGACAATGTCTAGGGTCAGAAGCCAGACATCCTCCCCACCTAAGAGAATGGAAAAAACCTTGACTTAAGAGAGACCTAATTCAATCCCAGCATCTCCCCCTAACTGCTGTGAGACATCAGACAAGTCACTTAACCTCTCTGAGCCTCAGGCTGTTGTCTGTGAAATGAGGGCAAGTCCTTGCAAGGCCAAGTGACCAGCCTGTATGCAGGCCCACTCTAAAATGAGAAGAATAGGCCGGGTGCGGTGGCTCATGCCTGTAATCCCAGCACTTTGGGAGGCTGAGGCAGGCGGATCAGGGATTCGAAACCATCCTGGCCAACATGGTGAAACCCCCTCTCCACTAAAAATACAAAAAATTAGCTGGGCGTGGCGGCTGTAGTCCCAGCTGCTCGGGAAGCTGAGGCAGGAGAACTGCTTGAACCCAGGAGGGGGGGGTTGCAGTGAGCCCAGATTAAAAAAAAGGGAAGAGTAATAGTACGCATGTCATAGAGAGTAACAGCTACCCATCTCACTTAGGGGATTAAATGAAATAATACAGTGGCTCTTAAAGTGTGGTTCCCAGACCAGCAAGCAGTAGCCATACCTGGGACTTGTTAGAAATGCCAGTCCTTTAGCCCTACCGGGGACCTACTGAATCCAAAGCCCTGAAGGGTGGGTCCCAGCAAAATGTGGCTTAACAAGCCCTCCAGGTGATTCTAACACACCGCCAAAGTTTGAGAACCCCTGAGATAATATTCATCTAGAGCTTAGAACAGTGTCTGGTACACGGGATCTAAGTTGCATCATGAAAGATGAATAGGGTAAAAGGTATCCCAGGCAGAAGGAACAGAATGTGCCTAAAAGAGTGGGACGTGAGCCAAGCAAGTGCTTTCCTGGGAGGAGAGGTTGAAAGGATTCCCCAGAGAATATAATGGGGCTCGAACTCCAAGTTCAGACTTCTGTATTGTAGACAACCAAGTTTTTTAGCCAGAGTGTAAGCTGTTCAAATTATGGTTTTAAATAAAGAAACTGAAAACCAAAGAGGAGAGTTGACTTGCCTAAGGTCACACAGCAATTGGGCTGTAGAGATGGAACTAAAAGCCAAGTCACCTCACTCCCAGACAATGAAGGGTGCTGCAACACTCACGGCCCATCTTCCAAGCTAGAAAGGTAAGCTTAGAGGGCCAAGCCACGGAAGGAAGCCAGCCGTGAGGGGGTTCTGCATCAGTTCCAGGACCTGCTGGGGCTGAGCCAGTCTGTCCAGCTGCTGTGGGAGTTATTCCAAGCTGGACACCTGAACCCCCTCAGCCATGACAACAAGCCCCACCTACAGGTGCAGCCTGGTCTCCATGGGCTGCACACATGCACACATCTCAATTTCTCAACACCTAAAGGGAGGCACCCCTGTCAAAGAGTCTAGATCCTGGCCCCTTGGATGACCAACCTCACCAGCACTCTCTTTGCTCCTCCATACCTGGGAAGTTTTTTTTTTTTTTTTTAGCCATGAGTAATAGAAACAGTAGGCTGAAACTGGGCGCAGTGGCTCATGCTTGTAATCCCAGCACTTTGGGAAGCTGAGGTGAGCGGATCACCTGAGGTCAGGAGTTCAAGACCAGCCTGACCAACATGGAGAATCCCTGTCTTTACTAAAAATACAAAATTAGCCAGGCATGGTGGCAGGTGCCTGTAATCCCAGTTACTGGGGACGCTGAGGCAGGAGAATCACTTGAACCTGGGAGGCGGAGGTTGCAGTGAGCTGAGATCGTGCCTTTGCACTCCCCTGACAGAGCAAGACTCCGTCTCAAAAGAAAAAAAAGAAAGAAAGAAAGAAAGAAAGAAAGAAAGAGAGAGAGAGAGAGAGAGAGAGAGAGAGAGAGAGAGAGAAAGAAAGAAAGAAAGAAAGAAAGAAAGAAAGAAAGAAAGAAAGAAAGAAAGAAAGAAAGAAAGAAAGAAAGAAAGAAAGAAAGAAAGAGAAAGAAAGAGGCTGAACAGCAGAGACTTGAGGCCCAGAACCAGCTAAGCCTCAATTGGTGAATGAATGAATGATGCAATGATGCCAAAAATACGATTTTCAGAATTCTTCAGTGCAGACTTCCTGAGCTCTCTCTTCCTCCAGGTCACCTCCCAAAATTAATTCTTCATCCAGAGCAGAGGTTATCAAAGTGAAGTCAATGAGCCATCTGCACCAGGATCACTTGGGGCACTTGTTTAAAATGTAGATTCCCAAACCCCTCTCCCAGCACTTCGGAATCTGCCTCTCTTGGAAGGTGGGACCTGAACATTTAGCAAGTTCCCCAAGTGGTTTTTCTAGGGGCTAATGTGTTGATTCATCCCCTTGATGGAGTGGACATATGTGGACGCAGATGGGATGCCCCAGACCCAGGAATCCAGAGCCCCCATCCTCTCTCATCCACCACCCTCCACCCAGTTCGGTTCGTAGGACTGGCAGAAGCAGATCAGCTGAGCTCTGCGCTTTCAGAAAAGTCACTGAGCGGCCAGGGCCTTGGGGCGGGGACCCCGGGGCTGCCCTAATGGGGCGGGGCTGGATGGGGCGGGGTCGCGGCTCCTCCCCCGACCCAGGCGACTAGGGGAGGGGAACCGGCCTGAGGGGCTGCGTGCGGAGGCGGGTGGTGCAGCCTGGAGCATCCCGCCGCTGGAGCTTCGGGGGACCCTGGACCCCTCCCACGCCGAGGTAAAGCCCTGCGCTCCGCGCCACCAACTTGCTCAAGTTGGAGCAGAGTTCGCCAGGCGATTGCAGGGGGTTCTGCAGCGTTGGCAGGGTAGGGGGACTTCGAAACTAAGTCTCGAGGGTGAAGGTCTTCAGACCTTGAGACCCGGAGGGCTGGGTAGCCCTGGACAAAGACCCCCCCACACACACACCAGGATGGGGGATTCACACCCCGGATGCCGGCTGGGAAAGCTCGGACCCAGACTCCAGGAATGGCACAGCGTTCCTGGGCCCTGCGGTCTGTCCTCCCCGTGCCTTGCCAGGACCCTGTCCTGTCACCTAACCTGAGGCCTAAAGGCCGGCTGCAGCTCCGGTCATTAAAAGAAGTTGGAGGCCATAGCGCCAGACGCTCCTGAATTTTTCACACAGTGGGCGGGTCAGACACGCGGTTCCCATGGCACCAGGGCACTCGGGTTACAGTCGGGTTACCCCCATGCCCCCCTCACCCTTCTGGAGTATCAACCCACCCTCCTGCCTCTTCCTCCTCAGACTCCGTGAAATTGAGCAGCGAAGTTAAGTAACCCCTATCCTTGGTGGGGGACCTCAAACTGCACTCCCGACCCAGAAACTGTGAAAGAGAGCGATGGGGAAGGGGAGGAAGGGAACAATTCAGATGCCTTTCATAGCCAGGGCCTCTTGTTGTATGGGAAGCGCAGGCCCATGTACACAGAGTGGGGAATGTGCAAGTGAGGACACCCCATCTCACTGCTGCCCCTCCGCCTGCCTGTCATCGGGAGTAGGTCATCCTTAATGGCCTCTGGGTGAGCATGTCTGTGTTCACAGCCTGTGCACTCACTCCTTCCAGCCAGATCCAGGTGTACGCTGAGCCTGAAGCCAGAAGGCCCCCACCCCAAGAAGCTGAGGCACCTCATCCTCCCATCTGAACAAGAGGGGGATCTGGAAAAAGCCATCTCAGCAGCTCATCGGGATGCTATAGAAAGAAGCAGCAGCTCAAAGCCACTGGCTGACAGCCAATTCCCCCTCCTTTCAGAAGGAAGGAAGAAGCAAAACCCCTCTACCAAAGATGACACTCAACACTGGGCAGGAAGCAAAGACCCCTCTGTGCCGGCGAGCCCGCACCCCACTGCCCCTGTCCCCACGGGGCCGCCAGCCTGGCCTCCTGAGCACAGCGCCTTCAGCTCAATCCCAGCATCCCCGGTTGGGCCAATCAGCCTCCCTCAATCCTCCCACCCAGAAGCTTTCCCCTGCCCCAGATGATTGGTCTTCTGAATCCAGTGACTCTGAAGGCTCCTGGGAGGCCCTCTACCGTGTGGTGCTAGTTGGAGATCCTGGAGTGGGGAAGACCAGCCTGGCCAGCCTCTTTGCAGGGAAGCAAGAGAAGGACCTCCATGAACAGCTGGGAGGTAGGGGCCACATGGGCTGGGCTGGGATATGGCCAAAGGAATGAAAGCTCTGTCACCAGGGCACTGGGCTCCCAAGAACAGTTGTACAAGTCATGCACTGTTCAACTCTAAGGGGCATCATTCACTCAGACTATGACATGAACCATGTCCTCCCATACTGAGAACCAGCTCGGTTGGGAGACTCCCACCCAGGTAGCACTGAAGGTATTGAGAGGCATCCAACAGAGTAGATCTATCCAGGGGACCAACAGCCTGAGAGGCTGACAGCTTTCCAGGCTGAAGGCCCTGAGCAGATTCTCATCCATGTATTTATTTGCTCTGAGACAGGTGATTATTATTAATACACAAATGCTCTACATTTACTCATAACTCAAGAATATACCAAGTAGGCAGCTGTTACCTGCCTACCACTAATTACAAACTAAAAGGTCCCTCCACAGAGGAGCCATGGGGACAGGGTAAACATAATGTTTCTAACACTCCCCACTCCAAAGTTGCACGGGGCACAGCCTGCACAATGAATGGTCAAGGGGAGGGAAATTCTTGAATAGAACAAGAATTTTGCCAATTTCCCATGAATGAGAAGTGTATGATTCATTTCCATGTCATAAGGGTGGCAATTCTGAGTTCCATGTCAAGAAATGGTGGGCTTCCACCCAGCTCAGAAACTCCCCGCCCCGATGCCTCTGACTCTGATTCTCCTAGTCCCGTAGACACCCATCTATGGTCACCATGACCTAAAGCAAAACTAAGATCCTTTGCAGAAGGGAGACTCCCAGACCCGGGGTTCTGGGCCCTGGGTTGCTTTATTCCCAAGAAATGCAGTGACCTGAGTGTGTCGAGGGCCCCAGGATGATGGAGTACAGGGAAGACAGGAGAGATGAAGGTAGGCCCTGAAGGACTGGGCAAGAGGACATAGGGTGAGTAGGAAAGGGGGTTGATTAAACGCAGAGAAAAGGTGGGGACATCTAGCCAGACTCTTCTCTAGTCTTGACTTCCCTCTGCCAGCCTCAAAAGTGAGAACCCATGTGTTACAGATAGGGAGACTGAGGCCAAAAGAGGATAACATGACCTGCCTGAAGCACACACTAAGTCAGAGACAGAGCAGGCCTGGGAGAATTCCTAGCCCAACTTTAACCCCACCACCCCACCTTCATTCAATCAATCATGTATTTTTGGCACGTACAGTGCGCCAGGTATTATGGCAGCTAGGAAGACATGTGCTCCTACCAGGAGAGACAGGCATCAAACAAGTGTGATGAGTATTTCTTAGAAGTGGAGGGGGCGATGTGATCAGAAATGGGGGCAGGGAACCCCACACTCTCTCAGGCTTGCCCTTCCTCCCTGAGACCCAGCTCTTCCCTTGGTTGCAGAAGGTGTATATGAGAGGACCCTCACGGTGGATGGAGAAGACACCACATTGCTGGTCGTGGACACCTGGGAGGCTGAGAAACTGGTATGGCACTGCAAGCAGGATTTGGGGAGACAGGTGCTGAGCCTAATACCAGACTCCTTCCTGTCCCCTCCTGGGACACTACAGATGAGGTGTGAGCAAAAGCTGAGGATGCAGCACCCTACCCCAAAACCCCCAGCCGCAAGCAGTCTTTCCAACCCCAAACAGAAGACCCTTTTGACCCTGGCCCCTTTTCTCACTCCATAATCCCCTCCCAGCGGGCATCCCAGAATGTGCTTCTCCCCCCGCAGATCTCCCCATCATTATTTCCACCTTCACCCCACCCACCCACATTGTACAGAAGGAACATTAGATTTGGCACCAAAATGCCTAAGGCTGAACCCCCTTTCTTTTTCTTACTAGTTGTGTAGTTTTGTGCAATCGACTTAACCACTCCGAGCACCAGTTTTCTCATCTGATAAATGGGTTAACCATTCCTGCCTTCCTCCTCAGCTAGTTTTTTAAAGTTCTTACGCAATCTCAGAGGTAAGCCCAGTTTAAAGCATGAGAAAATGCTGAATGGGGTTAAGAACCGTAAATGATAACTCTTAGTACTTATGACTTGGTAGCTAGAGAAAAAGGAAACCAGAGCAGGAAGAGAGCAATAGGCAGGAACACGTCCTATTATGATTTTATTTTGTTTGTGTTTTCTTTTCTTTTGCTACACAGGTAATACATGACCACTGTAGAACTTTGAGGAAAAACACCTAAGCAAAGAGAAGGATCTAAAAATCACCTGGGATCCCATCTCTCTAAGGAATAGGCCACTCCCCTAAAATTGAGGGAGGCCCTGCCCATGGGGTGGAGTTTAGGAGGACATTGAGGTGTGATTGACAAGAATGGTTGACAGCTCTCCTTTTAACAACCATAAAAGGAAACCCCAGCCCAAATGAGCATAATAATGACGATGATTCTTATAACAGCACCTGACATTTATGGAGTGCCCACTTCCTAAGTGTCAGCCCCTGTGCTAAGCACTAGACATATTTTATGAATTCAATCAAAACAAAAACTGGGCCTGGTGCAGTGACTCAGGCCTGTAATCCCAGAACTTTGGGAGGGCAAGGCATGTGGTTCACCTAAGGTCAGAAATTTGAACCGGCCTGGCCAACAAAATGAAACCCCATCCCTACTAAAAATACAAAAATTAGCCAAGTGTGGTGGCGTGGGCATGTAATCCCAGCTACTTGGGAGGTTAAGGCAGGAGAATCACTTGAACCTGGGAGGTGGAGGCTGCAGTGAGCCAAGATCACGCCACTGCACTCCAACCTGGGCAATAGAGCAAGGCTCTGTCTCAAAAACTAAATGGTGAGTTTTCTGATTCCCATTCTACTGATGAGAAAACTGAAGACCAGAGAGGTTAAATAATAATGTGTCCAAAGCTCTCAAATAGCAAGTGAGATTCAAACCCAGGTCTACAAAATCCCAGATGCTGTTTCTTTTTATTTTATTTTTTTTATTTTTGAGATGGAGTTTCACTCTTGTGAAACTGTGTGTTTTCTGTGTGTCAAGATCACAAAAGCCAGTTAGTGCATGGATTTGTGCATAAGAGCTCATTGGCAGTGTGATTAAAAATATAGATTCTTGGCTAGGTGTAGTGGCTCACGCCAGTAATCCCAGCACTTTGGGAGGCCAAGGTGGGCAGATCACCTGAGGTCAGGAGTTCAAGACCAGCCTAGCTAACATGGTGAAACCCTGTCTGTACTAAAAATACAAAAATAGCCAGGGGTGGCGGCAGGCGCCTTTAGTCCCAGCTACTCCGGAGGCTGAGGCAGGAGAATTGCTTGAACCTGGGAGGCAGAGATTGCAGTGAGCCTGAACTAAGATCGTGCCACTTCACTCCAGCCTGAGCAACAGAGAGAGACTCAACCTCAAAAAAAAAAAAAAAACTGTATATACCTATATAGATAAATTCCAGAACCCCACTTTTAGAGTTTCTTATTTATTTATTTATTTATTTATTTATTGAAATGGAGCCTAGCTCTGTCGCCTAGGCTGGAATGCAGCGAATCAATCTTGGCTCACTGTAACCTCCGCCTCCCAGGTTCAAGCAATTCTCCTGAGGCAGGTTCAAGCAATTCTCCTGCCTCAGCCTCCTAAGTAGCTGGGATTACAGGTGTGCACCACCATGCCTGGCTAATTTTTTGTATTTTTAGTAAAAATGGGGTTTCACCTTGTTGGTCAGGCTGGTCTCAAACTCCTGACTTCAGGTGATCCCCCTGCCTTGGCCTCCAAAAATGCTGGGATTACAGTTGTGAGCCACTGCACCTGACCAGAGCTTCTTATTCTCTAGGTCAAGAGTGAGGCCTGATAAATTTGATTTTTATTTATTTTAATTAATTAATTTTTTTTGAGATGGAGTTTCGTTCTTGTTGCCCAGGCTGGAGTGCAATGGTGCAATCTCGGCTCACTGTAACCTCTGCCTCCCATGTTCAAGCAATTCTCCTGCCTCAGCTTCCCGAGTAGCTGGGATTACAAGCATGCACCACCATAGCTGGCTAATTTTGTATTTTTAGTAGGGACAAGGTTTCTCCATGTTGGTAAGGCCGGTCTCCAACTCAGCCAGGTGCAGTGGCTCAAAAATTAGCTGGGCATGGTAATGGGTGCCTGTAATCCCAGCTACTTGGGAGGCTGAGGCAGGGGAATTGCTTGAACCTAGGAGGCAGAGGTTGCAGTGAGCCAAAGTCATGCCATTGCACTCCAGCCTGGGCAACAAGAATGAAACTCTGTCTCAAAATAAATAAATAAATAAAAATAATATAGCCTCTGGAATTTTGTATATCTGGGTTTGAATCTCACTTGCTATTTGAGAGCTCTGGACACATTATTATTATTATTATTATTATTATTATTATTTAACCTCTCTGGTCTTCAGTTTCCTCATCAGTAGAATGGGAATCAGAAGACTTGCCATTTAGGTTTTGAGACAGAGCCTTGCTCTGTCGCCCAGGCTGCAGTACAGTGGCATGATCTTGGCTCTGGCCCACTGCCACCTCCACCTCCCTGGTTCAAGCAATTCTCCTGCCTCAGCCTACCAAGTAGCTGGGATTATAGATGCCTGCCATCACACCTGGTTAATTTTTGTGTTTTTAGTAGATACGGGGTTTCACCATGTTAGCCAGGCTGGTCTTGAACTCCTGACCTCAGGTGATCCACCCGCCTCAGCCTCCCAAAATGCTGGGATTACAGGCATGAGCCATCGCACCCAGCCAAGAATCTATATTTTTAAAAACACTGCCAATGAGTTCTTACACACAAATCCATGCACCAACTGGCTTTTGTGATCTTGACACACAGCAAATCCTCCATAAATATTTGTGGAATTAATGAATGAATGAATGGTCAAGACTCACTTTCTCATTCTAGAGATGGGGAAAACTAAGACCCAGAAGAAGAAACCTGTCCATAGTCAAAGTTGAGAACCCACATCAGTCTGACTTGCCCTAAGGTTATTTGGCCTGGGAAATGATCAATATGGCTGTTGAGAACTTACCCCACTTTGACAATAACGTTGACCATGGATCTGATGGTTTCCTATTCATCACCAAATTCCCATTTGGTTATCAGAAAATTTCTGGCTTCTGGTTGAGTGTGGTGGCTCATGCCTATAATCCCAGCACTTCGGGAGGCCAAGGCAGGTGGATCACTTGAGGTCAGGAATTTGAGACCAGCCTGGCCAATACGGTGAAACCCCATCTCTACTAAAAATACAAAAATTAGCCGGGAGTGGTGGCAGGTGCCTGTCATCCCAGCTACTCAGGAGGCTGAGGCTGAAGAATCACTTGAACCTGGGAGGTGGAGGTTGCAGTGAGCCAAGATCACGCCACTGCACTCCAGCCTGGGAGACAGAGTGGGACTCCATCTCAAAAAAGAAAAAAGAAAGAAAATTTCTGGATTCTTCCCCACCTCACAAACACACTCAGTCTTTCTCCCTTTAGCGCTGACTGTTCCCTTTGCCTGGAATCTCTTCTCTCCTGCTTGGCCTGACCTTCCTTCCTAACCCCATTCACCAGTCCCCTGTGAAGCCCTCCCACATTCTGCCAGGTGGGGTTCTTCTGGCCTCCTGACCCCACTCCTCCAGCCACTTGCACATGCCTCTTACTGGTACTTTCACACGGCACTGTAACTCCCCATTTCCACAGCCTCTCTTCCAGACCATGAGCTTTTGGAGGGCAGAAACTGTGTCTTACTCAACACTTATAAAGTTATTACCCAAGTAGTCCAGTCTTGAAGGGCTGACCCTAACAAAAGATCACCATCCGAAATATCAACAGCAGTCCAGTTCTTTCTTTGTCTTAGTCAAACAACTTGAAAGGACTCCACTTCTTAAAATGCTCCTTGCCTCTCTCATTCCCTTGTGAAATTATACTTTGAAGTTGCTCCTTCACTTCTGTCTTCAAAACTGTCCTGAAAAATGCCTTCCCTGACGTCAGCCTCCTGTCCTCACTTCTCTTTTCCTTTTTTCTCTTCATTCTGGATTACAGCAGCCATAAAGAACCATACGGCAAGGCTAAACCCTCCTAAACAAGGCAAAAGTGCTGAACAGGCCAAGGCAGAACCCCCTTTAACAGGAACAGGAAACAAGTAAATGTTGCCTCCAACACCCAGCCTGCAAAACTATCAGTGAATGAGAGAATTCTGTGAGGTAGTGTTATTAGCATAATTTTCAAACAGAGAAACTGAGGCTCAGAAAGAATCACTGGTTTTCCCAAGGTGACACAGGGAATTATGGCAGAATTTGTCCCCCACACCTGTCCAAACTATAAACCTCAGCCCCATCCCACCCATTAGACCATCCCAGCTCCACCTTTCTCAGGCAGGTCCTAGATACTGTCTGAGGACAGGCCTTGGGTCCCCCTCCCACAGGATAAAAGCTGGAGCGGGGAGTCATGCCTGCAGGGGGGCTGTGCCTACATCATCGTATACTCCATCGCAGACCGAGGCAGCTTTGAGAGTGCCTCTGAACTCCGTATCCAGCTGCGGCGCACATATCAGGCAAACCATGTGCCCATCATCCTCGTGGGCAACAAGGCGGACTTGGCCCGCTGCCGAGAAGTCTCCGTAGAAGGTGAGCCCTCCATCCCACCCTTCCTCTTCCTCTGGGCCCCACTGTCATGGCTGCTCCTCCAGCTCTCTTCATCTCAGTGACTGTCCCTGCCAAGCTGCCCCTACCCTGCAGCCACCTGCCTAAGCCTGAAAGCCAGGAACTGTTCTTGCCTCCCTTCTCACCACCCCCAAACCAGTCCTCAAGTCCTGTAAGCCCACCTCCATTAATCCCACATCCCCTTCCCTCTGTGCCTACAGCCTCTGTGCTATCCTGGCATCTCCACCTTCGCCAATCCTCCTACTTCTCAATCATTCTTCCTCGCCAGCTGCCAGAATTTTCCAAGACCAGAGCTAAATTTATGCTTCTTAAAAATGCCTGTATGTGGCAGTCCATGGTGGCTCACCACTATAATCCTAGCACTTTGGGAGACCAAGACAGTAGGACTTGCTTGAGCCCAGGAGTTCAGGACTAGCTTTGGCAACACAGCAAGACCCTCTCACTACAAAAAATAAAAAATAATTTTAACTCTTTTTAAAAAAATTTCCGGCCAGGCGCAGTGGCTCATGCCTGTAATCCCAGCACTTTGGGAGACCAAGGCAGGTGGATCACTTGAGGTCAGGAGTTCGAGACCAGCCTGGCCAACATGGTAAAACCCCATCTCTACTAAAAATACAACAATTAGCCAGGTGTGGTGGTGCACACCAGTTATCCCAGCTACTTGGGCAGCTGATGCATGAGAATCGCTTGAACCCAGGAGGCAGAGGTTGCAGTGAGTCGAGACCACACCACTGCACTCCAGCCTGGGCAACAGAATGAAACTCTGTCTCAAAAAGAAAAAAAAATTCCTCTATGGCTCCCCGATCCCCTTAATCAGAGACACTTTATTCACCAACATAATAGGCCCGGTGCCTACAGGCTTTTCAAGGGCTTACATTTGAGAACTGAAAAGAACCATTATTCGCTCCAAAATACAGTGAAAAAATTAGAAATGCAAATTTCTCAAAGCTTTAATTGTCTGCAAAACATATCTGTCAGCCAGCAACTACAAACCAAAACTTTAAATGTCATATATGGATTGCATTTACAATGGGATGGGGAATATTTTAATAAGTTTGACATATCAGATGCGGCCCATGAAATTTTTAAACGGTTTTACTCACAAAGTAAAATCTTAAAAATGTGTAAACTGAGACCCCGAAAAGAAAAGCCAATTTCACAGTCACCAGCCCTTGAGGACTAGAACTCGGGCCCAGTGGCATCCTGGAGGTGGAAAACCGTATGTTTTATGGACAGACATCCAAAAAAAAAAAAAGAAAGAAAACCTGCAACATAAGCCCCAGGAGATTTTGTTAAAGCCCAGATTTCCAGACCTCAACCCAAACCTACAGAATCAGAAACTCTGAGGGTGGGTCCAGGAATCTGCATTTTAACAAGATCCCCCAGGTAATCCCGATGAATTAGACCCTTTACCTGGCATTCAACCTGGCCCCTACCTGACCCCAGCCTTTCTGTCTTCCCTCAAAAACCAGTCTGATTTACCTGAGTCCCCAGACAGCAGCACCAGGTCTGGGCACAGGAAAAATTGCTTCCAATAGAGACTGAACACACCTTCTCTACCTTTTTCTCCACCTTCCGGCTATGGCTCCACCCCTGCTCGCCGGGCCCCGCCCCCTCAGAGGGCCGCGCCTGCGCTGTGGTGTTCGACTGTAAATTCATCGAGACGTCAGCCACGCTGCAGCACAACGTGGCGGAGCTCTTCGAGGGCGTAGTGCGCCAGCTGCGGCTGCGCCGCCAGGACTGTGTGGCCGAGGAGTCCCCAGCACCACGACGGCGAGCCAGCCTAGCCCAGCGCGCTCGTCGCTTCCTGGCACGCCTGACAGCCCGCAGCGCACGCCGCCGGGCACTCAAGGCCCGCTCCAAGTCCTGCCACAATCTGGCCGTGCTCTGAAGCCGCCCGCTCTTCTGAGGGTTGACAGGTCACTGAGGTGCATTCCGGGCTCCACGGACGCCGCTGAGGGGCAAAAGCGCCGCTACCTGGAGTCTGCATCGTGGGTCTTGCTTACCCGCTGCCCTGATGGCCTGAGCATCCCCCAGATCCAAGCCTGAGAGACCCCAAGGAAGCAATGGACCGAAGCCCTATGCAGGGCACAACATAGTTTTTACCTGGTGGGTGTCCTTTTGTAAAAAAGTCTTCCTTGTGCCTGGGCTCTGGCCAACCCTTAGAAACCCTCACAATAGGCCGGGCTCGGTGGCTCACGCCTATAATCCCAGCACTTTGGGAGGCCGAGGCGGGTGGATCACGAGGTCACGAGATCGAGACCATCCTGGTCAACAAGGTGAAACCCCGTCTCTACTAAAAATACAAAAATTAGCTGGGCATGGTGGTGTGTGCCTGTAGTCCCAGCTACTCGGGAGGCTGAGGCAGGAGAATTGCTTGAACCCAGGAGGCGGAGGTTGCGGTGAGCCGAGATCGTGCCATTGCACTCCAGTCTGGGCAACAACAGCGAAACTCCGTCTCAAAAAAAAAAAAAGAAAAAAGAAACCCTCACAATAAACCAGACCAGAAGGATGTCCCATCCGAATGCCCACACCTCTCCATCTCGGCTCTTTGGGTCGTCTCCACCTACTGCCCTCCCATCTACACTTGACTACAGACTGGTTTAGTCTGCTGGCCCGGGTGTCAGGGCCAATCATCAATAAAGTCCTCAGACCAATTTTGTGCTCAGGCCTTTCTCCCGGCAGTGGATCGCAACCACAGTTGCGTGACCAGCTAATTTCTCATTAACCCATTTTTTACATTCTAGATTCCCATGTCTGGAAGGACCTCATCCTGGCAATAGAATTACTGGCGTTTGTTAGGAGCTGGGTACTAAGCTGTCGCCACAATTAGTTAATCCTCCCAACGCCTGGGAGAAGGGTGTTACCATTAACCCCATTTTGCTCGTTAGTAAACTGAGGCATGGGACAGTGAAGGCCCACCAAGGTCATACAGCTGCTATTTGCGAAGCTGCTGGGATTCCAGTTAGGCTTGTCAGACTCTAGTGACCAACTTATCCACTGTCCTCTTTAAAGATGTTACAAAACCCTGTAGAATCTTAGGAAAACTAATTTAAAGACATAATTTCACATCCAATTTAAAGGAGGTTGGGGCAGGAATACTCTATGAAACTCAATCCATTAATCCCGGGGATGGACCCCAGTTTAATCCAATTCACTCATTTCCCTAAGGCAGAAACAAGGCTAGAGAGGGGAGGTGAGCAAGCCAGAGACAGAGCCAGGGAGGACCACACCCCAGGGCCCAGCCTCCTCCTGGGTCTCCCTTTGGCTGTGTGGGAGGAAGGAGGTGGTGAGGCGTCCAGCCTGGCTGGGGTCAGGGCTGGGTGTTGGGGATCAGGTCAGGAGTTTCCATCCCGAAGGGAAGTGTCACTACTTTGAGAGGAAAACAAGACGCAAACCATTTGAACCACCATGTTCCTGACGCCTGACATCCCTCCCTCCAACTGGCCCAGACGCCCCAGCCCTTGGGGTCGCAGTGCAGAGAAAGACAACAGCACCCGCCAGCCAGCCCCATCTCCTCCAGCCACGACTCCCGGCTCCCCAGGCTTCCAGCTGGGACTGATGGTAATCACTCCCACACCCCAACCCCAGCCTGGGGAAGGGAAGAGAAGGAAGGTCTTCCCCCACCCCAAGCCGTCTCTGGCCTGCGGTCAGAGGGAGGGGCTCTAGCTGTGGAAAGTTGGCAGAGGCGGCCGGCAGCAGCCGGGAGAGTGGAAAAAATGATATCAAACCCGGAAAAATGCAGGCCGGATGGAGGGCCGGAGTGGGCCCTGGGAGGTGAGAGGGCGGGAGGGAAACGGGTAGGGGGAAGGGCTGAGAAAGGAAGAGGGGCCAGGGAGAGAATGCAGGAGCTGGCTTTAGAAAACGGAGTACAGTTGCCCTCATTCCCTCCTTTCTCCATCTACAAATATTTATTGAGGGCCTACTAAGTGCAGGTCACAGTGCCAGCCTCCAGGGAGACATGGTGAACAGAAAGAGGGTTCTCACTGCTTGGTAGCTCACAGCAAGGTGGGGTAGGCAGTAGGCAGACTAGAAAACTAATCAGCAAATAAAAGAATGGCAAACTGATAAGGAGCTGGAGTGGTCAGGGAAAGCCCTGAAGATAACCCAGGGCAATCCCCCATCCTCAGATGGGGAAACTGAGGGACACACAGAGAGAGAGAGAGAGAGAGCTTACCCCAAGGCCACTCAGAATGTGGAAGAAATACTTGAACGGTGATAGGGGAGGAAAGAGGGAAGGAAAAAAGAACTGGTGCAGACCAAGATGGTGGGGTGTGGGGGTGGTGTCAGGGGAAGGGGAGTTATGCAGCCAGCAAGCACAGCAAGATGGCAGGGCGATTGAGGGCACAGCCCTGAACCAGGGAGGTGTGTGTTCAAACCCTGCTCCCCTTCATCTCTCTGTGCCTTAGTTTCTCCATCTATAAAATGGAATTCATGACAATTCCTTCATTTAGAGTCGATGTGAGAATTAAATGATTTAAGATGTGTAAAATGCTTAAGACAGTTCCTGTGTCTAGGAATATTCAATAAATGTGGGCTCCTGCTAGCATATCTTTTTCTGTGAAACAGGGTCTCACTCTGTCTGTTGCCCAGGCTGGAGTGCAGTGGTGGGATCACAGCTTGCTGCAGCCTCCACCTCTCAGGCTCAAGCCATCCTCCCACCTCAGCCCCCCAAGTAGCTGGGACGACAGGCATGTGCCATTATGCCCAGCTAATTTTTTTGTTTTAATTTTTAGAGGAGACAAAGTTTTGCTGTGTTGCCCATGATGGTCTCAAATTCCTGAATCCAAGATCCTCCCACCTCAGTTTCCCAAGATGCTGAGATGACAGGCATGAACCACTGGGCCCCGCCCTGCTATTGTACCTTAAGGCCTTGCAGAAACCAGGATTTGTTAAGGGTGAGATATACTGAGACTGTGAAGACCTGCTTATGAGTCTTTGCCTAGCATATGTATTCACATGTTTTTGTCTGTCTGCCCCACAGGAATGAAAGCTCCTTGAGGGAAGGGCCCTCAGTGCTGCCCTGACCCCAGCACCTACAACCAGTGCCTGGCTCATAATAGGTGCTCAGTAAATATTTGTTGAATTGATGAATTCATTATCTATTAATGAATATCCATTAATTCATTATCCATTACCTGTAAAGTGGCCCTTCCATTCCTGTCCTCTCTGATTCTAGGTGTCTGTGAATAGGGAGCGGCTGGGAAAGCATGTGAGAAAACCACACTCTCCCTTCCAGGGACACAGCCTATTATAGTTTAGAAATTACTTTCTCATCCATAAAAACAAAACCAAAAAAATAGCCAACTTTGTTTTAACTCTTTCTCTGTTAGTATTGGGCCCAATGCTGCATGCTGGGTACAGATTTTCTCACATTCTCATCACCACAACCCTTCACTTAATAGGTACCGTTTAATAGATGAGGACACGGAGGCTAAGAGAACCCAAAAATCTCTCCAAGGCTGTACAGCAAGAAAGGGCCAGATCAGTGGTCGAAAGGAAGGCAGGAACTGCCGTCTTAGTTGCACAATCAGGGAAACTGAGACTCAGAAAGAGGGGATGAGTTGTCTAAGCCCAAAGTCATGTAATAAACAGCAAACAGTTACGTCACTCTTACTATATACCAGGTGCTGTGCTAAGCGTTCTTCATACATTAATTTATTAAATCCTGAAAACTGATCATATTATCACCACACCAGTTTTGAGATGGAGAAAACTGTAGCACAGAGAAGTTCAGTAACCTGCTAAGACTGCAGTTAGCAAGTAGCAGAACCAGAATTCACACCAGAGAGGTCTAGCTCATAGCATTAAGGGTGGTCTGTGTTGCACCATTTGTTGGCACAGCAAGCCTGGAACAGGCTGGTATAAAAAGGAAGGTGTCTTTGTCTCCAGCCCTGCTGCCTGGGCTAGTGTCAAGGCAGAGAACAAAAGCACATTGAGAGCATCCTCAGTTGCCAGCTGGGACTTTCCACCTTGAAGGGAGGATACTGTTATGGAAAAAATGATAAAGCTCTTGGAAGATGGATGTCTCCCCAGGGGCCCCCAAGCCTCCTCAGAGCCCCTCCTCTTGCTGTAGGGGAGGGCCACAAACTGTGCTGGCCTGGTCCAGATGAGACAAAGGCCACCTGGATCCCAAGACACCCCAGCCAGGCTGCTCGAATACTGAGGATCATTGGCCTTGGTGGTATGTTCCAATTTCTAAGCCCAGGCATGAAGCTTCTGCTCAGGGACCCCCAAGGAATCAGGTTCAGGCTGGAACTCCCTGTCCTTGGAGATGGGAAATACACATCTCATAGGGCCTACTCCCTCCTTTCTTCATTCAGCAAACATTGACAAGGATATGAGCTCTGAGGGAAGACACAGAATGTAGAGAGGATCATAGCTAGTGGGTACAGGGACATCCAAGTCCCTGCCCTGGCCACAAAGGGAAGGGAAGGGTAAACGAGGGGTAGAAGTAGTGAAAAATTCACCTACAACTGCTTGGTAATGATGAAGAATCCCTCGGGTCTGTCATGACCATGTGATCTTAGGCAAATCAAAATATACAGAGCAAAGGGGTTAACATAGAATTCTCTACGTAATTGTCTCTGTCTCCAGAATATTTAAATATTGCAGTTCAACTGCTTGAAAAAATATACAAGTTCAGTTTCAATTTGAGCACTGTTCCCTTCTGTTCAGTTCAGGGTTCAGTTAAAAATAATACTAATGATGGGATGGGAGCTCTGGGTGCAGCAATGTGTGATGTTTTACCCAGTTCCATATGGTTCAAGTTCAAGGCCCGGGTGTGTGTGTATGTGTGTGTTTGTGTTGTGGTTTACATTCCCATGCTTTGTGGATGTGACAATTTATTGGTGGAAAAGCACAGGCTTCGGAACTAGAAGAAACCTGTGTTTAATTCCACCTCAAGCACTTGGTCTCTGTGTGAGCTGGGTTCTCCTTTCCTTCATTTTGAAATGAGACATGATAATTGTTATCTTATAGGATTAAATGAGGTTTTTGGTACTTAAGAAAGAACCACTATATGCCATTGGTAATTCACTTCCCCTCTCTAGGCCTCAGTTTTCTCATCTGGAAAGTGGGGATATGAATAGTATTTCTTGGCCCAGCACAGTGGCTCATGCCTGTAATCCCAGCACTTTGGGAGACCAAGGTGGGCAGATCACCTGAGCTCAGGAGTTCAAGACCAGCCTGGCCAACATGTTGAACTCAATCTCTGTTAAAAATACAAAAATGGGCTGGGTGCAGTGGCTCACACCTGTAATCCCAGCACTTTGGGAGGCCAAGGTGGGCAGATCATGAGGTCAGGAGTTAGAGACCAGACTGGCCAACAGCATAAAACCCTGTCTCTACTAAAAAAAAAAAAAAAAAATTAGCCAGGCATGGTGGGGCGTGCCTGTAATCCCAGCTACTCGGGTGGCTCAGGCAAGAGAACTGCTTGAACCCAGGAGGTGGAGGTGGCAGCGAGCTGAGATCACACCACTGCACCCAGCCTGGGCAACAGAGTGAGACTCCGTCTCAAAAAAACAAAACAAAACAAAATAAATTATCTGGGCATGGTACACACACCTGTGGTCCCAGCTGCTTGGGAGGCTGAGGCAGGAGAATCACTTGAATCCCGGAGGCGGAGGTTGCAGTGAGCCAAGGTTATGCCACTGCACTCCAGCCTGTGTGACAGACCAAGATTCTGCCTCAAAAAAAAATAATAATAATAATATTTCTCACTAAGGGTCAATGTGAGAATTCAGCCAGGCTGGCTATTTGTTAGCATGATGCTTTGCACACTGTAAGCACCCAATAAATTGTAGTGCTTTTCCATGCATGATTTTATACTTTTTCCTACATATATATTTTGCTAAGGCATAGTATTGGATGCTTTTAAACTTCACTCAAACATCATACTATGTGTATCCTTCAGCTTTATTATTTTTCACATTCAACATTATGTTTATGAGATTCATTGTATTGAAATCTGTAACTGTAACTATTCTTTTTCATCACTGCATAGTATTCCATTGTATGAACATAGAAGATTTATTTATTTTTCATTCCTGGAGTGCAGTGGTGCAATCTCGGCCCACAGCAATCTCCACCTCTCAGGTTCAAGCGATTCTCCTGCCTCAGCCTCCCAAGTAGCTGGGACTGCAGGCGTGCACCACCATGCCCAGCTAATTTTTGTGTTTTTAGTAGAAACAAGGTTTCACTATGTTGGCCAGTATGGTCTTGATCTCTTGACCTCATGATCCTCCCACCTGGGCCTCCCAAAGGCATGAGCCACTGCACCTGGCAAGGGGCTTTTTTTTTTTCTTTTTTTGCTATAAATAATGCACTATAAACATTGCATGTGTGTCTTTGAGCACATATATAAGAGTTTCTCTTTCCATCTTTCCACTCTGCCATCTTCTGGGTCTCAGCTTGCCCTGGGGTAGCTTCCCTTTGGGTCCCGATATGGCCGCTGCAGTTTCAGGCATCAAACATGGACATGACAAGGTCCAGGCGAAGCAAGAAGTTTGTTTCTTCCTCATTGTGTCCCTTTCATCAGCAAGGAAACTCTTCCAGAGCCCTCCAGCTAATGTCCTTCATTTCTCTCTGGCCAGAATCAGGTTACATGGCACCTTAAACTAATCAGCAGCTTGAGTTAATCAGGGTTTGCATAAAGTACAACATGGCCACACCAAGAAGAAAAGCTGGAGCTGGATTTACACCCCACCTGCTCTAGTAGGGCAGTCAAGGGTGTACACTCAGCTTTTCCAGTCTTACAGAACAGTCCAGAGTGAGTGCGACCATTCCAAATCCAGTCTACTTCAGGGTTTGCCCAACTCTGTGAATGGGGATAGATACCTTTTCATAGAGTTGTCTGGAAAGAAACTTTGGAAGGCCAAAGTGAGCAGATCACCTGAAGTCGGGAATTCAAGACCTGCCTGGCCAGCATGGTGAAACCCCATCTTTACTAAAAATACAAAAAATTAGCCAGGTATGGTGGCAGGTGCCTATAATCCCAGATACTCAGGAGGCTGAAGCAGGAGAATTGCTTGGAACTGGGAGGCAGAGGTTGCAATGAGCCCAGATCGCACCTCTGCACTCCAGCCTGGGCGACAGAGTGAGACTCTGTCTAAAAAACAAACAACAACAAAAAACAACAGCTTGGGCCAGGCACAGTGGCTCTTGTCTGTGATTCACTTTGGGAGGCCAAGACCAGTGGATCTCTTGAGCCCAGGAGTTCAAGATCAGCCTAGGCAGCATGGTGAAACCCCATCTCTACAAAAATTACAAGATTTACCCAGGTGTGGTGGACATACCTGTAGTCCCAGCTACTTGGGAGGCTGAGGCGAAAGGATTCCCTGAGCCCATGAGGTCAAGGCTGCAGGGAGCTGTGATCGCACCACTGCACCCCAGCTGGGTGGCAGAGGAACACCCTGTTTCAAAAAAAAAAAAAAAAAAGAAGGGAAAAGTTTAGAAATAGGTTTTATTTTTATGAAGGAGGAAATTGTTCTACCAGAAATTTTCCTTTGCCTCTTGCTACCCCCAAAAAAATGGCTTCTGGCCGGGCGCGGTGGCTTAAGCCTGTAATCCCAGCACTTTGGGAGGCCGAGGCGGGTGGATCACGAGGTCAAGAGATCGAGACCATCCTGGTCAACATGGTGAAACCCCGTCTCTACTAAAAATACAAAAAACATTAGCTGGGCATGGTGGTGCATGCCTGTAATCCCAGCTACTCAGGAGGCTGAGGCAGGAGAATTGCCTGAACCCAGGAGGCGGAGGTTGCAGTGAGCCGAGATCGCGCCATTGCACTCCAGCCTGGGTAACATGAGTAAAACTCCATCTCAAAAAAAAAAAAAAAAATGGCTTCTATGAATGAGAGAGAAGTGGGTGAAGAATGTCAGATGGGCAACCTCGGTATTTGCCACAAAACACCTTCCATCCTCCTCCCGGTCCCACTGTGCTCCCTGGAGGTACTCACCATTAACAATTGGGGATATATCCTTCTGGATATTTTTCATTCCACTTACATATACGGTGTAGAAAACATTTGGCCACTTTTCTTTCTTCCACACTATCAGAATTGCAATCTTTCTCTGTTGTTCTCCTCTTACCTATGGAATCAACAATAAATCCTGATTGCTTTAAGCCAGAGATTAAAGGGGGACCTACAGTCTAGCTATGGCCAATGAACTATAATGAAAAGTTAGCTGGAGGTTTCTAGGAAAAGCTGCTTTACTCTTGGAAAAGAGCTTAATAAATAAATAAAGAGCTGCATCGAAAGAGACCATTCCCTTTTCTTTGACTGATCCCTGGAGTGTATGAATGTAATACCTGGAACTGTAGCCACCATCTTGCAATTATGTTGGAATCTAGTCAGAAAGGCAGAAAGATGGGGAGTACCTGAACCCTTGCTGATTAAATCAAGCCTCTGAACACCAACCTTGATGCTTCCCCATTTCTAGACTTACTGTTATGCAAATTACCTTAAGGGATTTCTGGGCCAGGTGCAGTGGCTCACGCCTGCAATCCCAGCACATTGGGAGGCTGAGGCAGGTGGATCACCTGAGATCAGGAGTTCCAGACAAGCCTGATCAACATAGAGAAACCTGGTCTCTAAAAATACAAAAATTAGTCGGGCATGGTGGCGCATGCCTGTAATCCCAGCTACTTGGGAGGCTGAGGCAGGAGAATCGCTTGAACCCGGGAGGTGGAGGTTGCAGTGAGCTCAGATCGCGTCATTGTACTCCAGCCTGGGCAACAAGAGCGAAACTCTGTCTCAAAAAAAAAAAAAATTCGTGAAGATTTCTGTGCCAAAGTCTAAATCATCCATCTAATACACTTGTATAGGTTTGTTTCCGTTTTTCACATAAGTGGAATTACAGCCATACACATTAAGACTGAATTCTATTGCAAATCCAAATCAGCAGTGATAGAAACAGAAGGGCATTTCTCTCTCATATAAGTGAAGTCCAGAAGCAGGCAGTCCAAGGCTGGCATGGCATTCCACAAGGAACTGTGGCTGCTTCTATCTTGTGGTTCCGTCATCTTCAATACAATATGCTGCTCAAGCAGCAGCCATCATATTCACATTCCAGCCAGCAGGGAGCGGTAAGGAGTCAAAAAAAAAAAAAGGCACAGCCTTTCTGAAGACGCACACCTCTGCTTACATCTCATTGGCCAGAACATAGTCACGTGACCTCACTTAATTTCACGCGAGTTTAGGAAATGTTTTCGTGGGGGGGTTTTCTGTTTGTTTGTTTTGTTTTTTTGAGATACAGTTTCACTGTCACCCAGACTGGAGTCCAGCGGCACAATCTTTGCTCACTGCAACCTCCACCTCTCAGGTTCAAGTGATTCTCCTGCCTCAGCCTCCTGAGTGGTTGGAATTACAGGCACGCACCACCACGCCCGGCTAATAGTATTTTTAGTAGAGACGAGATTTCACCCCGTCTGTCTGGTCTCAAACTCATGGCCTCAATGATCCACCTGCCTCAGCTTCCCAAAGTGCTGGGATTATAGGTGTGAGCCACTGCGCTCAGCCAGGAAATGTATTGTATTCTAAATAGCTACATACCAGCTCAAAATCAGGGATTCTGTGTTTAAGGA